CAGAAGGTCTCTCAGTTCAAGCCCAATTGTATAAATAACTATCTGGGAAGAATTTGGTCAAATGCCTTACTCCTCTGGGCCTCAGGGCTGGAAGATCCCAGGCTCCACCTGCTGATGTTTGATTTCACGGGGCAGAGAGTACCCCAGCTTTGCCATTTTCTCAAAACTTCCTTAATGATTACAGTGTGCTACCGGAAATGATCCTTCCTCTCATTTCATATTTAAAGAGACCAAGACTCAGAACAGTGACGTGTGTAAGTTCCACGGACAGATATTAGAACCTCACACTAGCATTCTGTCCTCCCAATTCCTAGTTCACAGATCCATGCAGACGCTGGAATAGATGCCAACTTCCCACTCCTAGGCAGGCCTGAACCAGAGTGATGGTTATCCAGCTTGGCTGAACCTGTGGAGCCTGTTAAAATGGAGATCTGGAATCTCACCCCAGGCCTCCGGGCTGCATAGGGATCCCTGAGGGGCACACGGAAAAGAGGGTGACTGGAGCACCCCCTAGAGGTCAGAGCGTGCCATCAGCATCCTCCAAGCCTCAGCACATTCCCTCTTCCAACTGAGTTAGTATCCTGGCTCTGGATTTGCCTTCCATTCCCTGGCTGGGAGGCTCTGAATAAACATCACACCTTACTCTGACTTGGGCTCCAGATTTGAGGCCCTAGCTTGGCATCTTAGCCTATGACCCTCAGCTTCTCTCCCTCGCTCCCCAGCATCCTCGGCTGTAGAGGCTGTGTGCCTCCCTTACAAAGGACCTGATTCCATCACTGTTGGGCAAATCTTCAAAGGCCTTCCCTGCCCATACTAAAGCAACCCAGCCTATCCTCTCAGGGGCTAGAAAACTGGACTCATTATACACACTATTAACCATAAAGGCTTCGGGGGCTATTAGAGAGAAACAAAAGTTCCCCCAGTGGCTTCCGTGGATGGTCTAAAATGTTTGTCATTGTCTTCAAACAATAGACTGTTACAGGGACATAAAATTCAGCCAGGTCTGAGCAGAGCCCTGGCTCCTCACTGGTTTATTTATGTCATTTACTGGGAGCTATTAAAGAATTGTTTTTCTCGGTCAGCCAAATACACTGATGGAAGCACATTGTCAGCCTTCAAAAACCAGAATCACATCATTGTCCAGTAAATATGTTCTTGCTCTTTTACAGAGTTTTTAAATCGTGCTCTATTGAGGAAAAGAAAAATGGTATGTGTGTGAGCATGGACTGAAATCCCCCCACGCTTGGGGAGGGTCAGCTGGGGTTCTGGTATGTTTCAACAAAATGCAGCAACTTATTTGTAGAAATACCATTATAGCTAATAGGAGTTAAAAACCATTTTAAAAGATAAGGATGTCTAGTCATTTCAAGATTATTTTGTGAAATGTGCCCTGCTAAAAAAGGAATGAGGGCTTCCCTGGTGGTTCAGTGGTTAAGAACCCATCTGCAGATCTATCCTGCAGAATGTTCCATGAGCACTTGAGAAGAAAGTGTATTCTGTTGTTTTTGGATGGAATGTCCTATAAATATCAATTAAGTCCATCTTGTTTAATGTATCATTTAAAGCTTGTGTTTCCTTATTTATTTTCATTTTGGATGATCTGTCCATTGGTGAAAGTGGGGTGTTAAAGTCCCCTCCTAATGATTGTGTTACTGTCGATTTCCCCTTTTATGGCTGTTAGCATTTGCCTTATGTATTGCGGTGCTCCTATGTTGGGTGCATAAATATTTACAATTGTTATGTCTTCTTGGATTGATCCCTTGATCATTACGTAGTGTCCTTCTTTGTCTCTTGTAATAGTCTTTATTTTAAAGTTCTGTCTGATATGAGAATTGCTACTCCAGGTTTCTTTTGATTTCCATTTGCATGGAATATCTTTTTCCATCCCCTCACTTTCAGTGTGTATGTGTCCCTAGGTCTGAAGTGGGTCTCTAGTAGACGGCACATATACGGGTCTTGTTTTTGTATCCATTCAGCCAGTCTATGTCTTTTGGTTGGAGCATTTGATCTATGTACATTTAAGGTAATTGTCAATATGTATGTTCCTATTACCATTTTCTTAAGTGTTTTGGGTTTGTCATTGTAGGTCTTTTCCTTCTCTTGCGTTTCCTGCCTAGAGAAGTTCCTTTAGCATTTGTTTTAAAGCTGGTTTGGTGGTGCTGAATTCTCTTAGCTTTTGCTTGTCTGTAAAGGTTTTAATTTCTCCGTCGAATCTGAATGAGATCCTTGTTGGGTAGAGTAATCTTGGTTGTAGGTTCTTCCCTTTCATCACTTTAAATATGTCCTGCCACTCCCTTCTGGCTTGTAGAGTTTCTGCTGAGAAATCAGCTGTTAACCTTATGGGAGTTCCCTTATATGTTACTTGTTGTTTTTCCCTTGCTGCTTTTAGTATTTTTTCTTTGTATTTAATTTTTGATAGTTTGATTAATATGTGTCTTGGCATGTTTGTCCTTGGGTTTATCCTGTATGGGACTCTCTGTGCTTCCTGGGCCTGATTAACTATTTCCTTTCCCATATTAGGTAAGTTTTCGACTATAATTTCTTCAAATATTTTCTCAGTCCCTTTCTATTACTCTTCTTCTTCTAGGACCCCTATCATTCAAATGTTGGTGCATTTAATGTTGTCCCAGAGGTCTCTGAGACTGTCCTCAATTCTTTTCATTCTTTTTTCTTTATTCTGCTCTGCAGTAGTTATTTCCACTATTTTATCTTCCAGGTCACTTATACGTTCTTCTGCCTCAGTTATTCTGCTATTGATCCCTTCTAGAGAGTTTTTAATTTCATTTATTGTGTTGTTTGTCACTGTTTGTTTGCTCTTTAGTTCTTCTAGGTCCTTGTTAAATGTTTCTTATATTTTCTCTATTTTATTTCCAAGATTTTGGATCATCTTTACTATCATTACTCTGAATTCTTTTTCAGGTAGACTGCCTATTTCCTTTTCATTTGTTTGGTCTGGTGGGTTTTTACCTTGCTCCTTCATCGGCTGTGTGTTTCACTGTCTTCTCCTTTTGGTTAACTTACTGTGTTTGGGGTCTCCTTTTCGCAGGCTGCAGGTTCGTACTTCCCATTGTTTCTGGTGTTCCCCCGCCAGTGGGTAAGGTTGGTTCAGTGGCTTGTGTAGGCTTCCTGGTGGAGGGGACTGTTGCCCGTGTTCTGGTGGGTGGGGCTGGATCTTGTCTTTCTGGTGGGCAGGGCTGCATCCGGTGGTGTGTTTTGGGGTGTCTGGGACCTCATTATGATTTTAGGCAGCCTCTCTGCTAATGGGTGGGGTCGTATTCCCGTCTTGCTAGTTGTTTGGTACAGGGCGTCCAGCACTGGAGCTTGCTGGCCGTTGGGTGGAGTTGGGTCTTAGCGTTAAGACGGAGATCTCTGGGAGAGCTCTCGCCAATTGATATTACATGGGGCCTGGAGGTCTCTGGTGGTCCAATGTCCTGAACTCGGCTCTCCCACCTCAGAGGCTCAGGCCTGACCCCAGGCTGGAGCACCAAGACCCTGTTAGCCACCTGGGTCCAAACTCCGGAACTCCACACTCAGGAGGCAGCCCTTTGGACGTGCTGCCTCTCCACTTCTGCCTGCCCCTGTTTTAAGCTCTCCAGGTCACCTGGGCCCTCTGCTCTTTCTCCTTCTCAGCCCTGAGAAATGTTATTTACTGCCTGATTGTAGGAGTTTCAGGCCCAAGAGAAGAGGCTCATTGACCTCTGCAGGCTTTCTGAGCTAGTTCTACTCCTCCTTTGAGTCCTCTCCCCAGCAAACAAGAAGACAGTCTTCCCAAAACCACCCCACAATCACAGGTGCACAGTCTATCAGTACCATCCTTAATAATGACCATTTGGGTTAACACGTGTGATAAAGTAAGATGTTTATCACACAGTCTCTGAAATGCCCAACATGCTCCAGACCATCTAATTCAGAGCACTGTGGGTTACAAGCACCTGAAACTTTCTCAGTCCAGGCCTCAGGGCCTTGGCTCATGCTGTTTTCTCTTTGCAGACACTCTTCTCCCAGATGTTTACGTGGCTTGATCCATTGTTTACTTCCTGTCTTTGCTCAAATTCCCCCTTCTCAGATAGATCTCTACATACCGTTTACAAACTCTTCACCACTCCCCACTCATACCCCAGCACTCCCTATCCCTTTCTCCGCTTTTATTTTCTCCATTGAATTCAGGCTTTTCTTGTATACCATATATTCTACCTAGTATCTTGTGTACCGTTTCTTATTCTCCCACACTCCTGGCCACCACCCAGTATCCCCCCCTAAATGCAAAGTTCCAGAAAGGCAGAGATATATTTGTCTTTATTTTCTGCAGCTTAACCCCAGCCCCAAGAGTGGTGTCTGGTACATTATAGGCACTCAATAATATTTATGGAACGAGTGATGAATCAGTGGTGCGATCCTAAGGAAAACTGTAAATCATGGCAATCATTTGTACAATACGTGTCATTTACAGAGACCATTTGGATGTCTCAGGATGTCTGTGTCTCGATCTCCTCTTCTTATAAGGACACCAGTCAGACTGGATAAGGACCCACACATATGACCTCATTTTACCTTAATTACCCCTTTAAAGGCCCCATTTCCAAATACAGTCACATTCTGAGGTGCTCAGCTCATAACAAATAGCAAGCAGGTGACAGTGGTAGAATTTGAACATGAGTCTCCTGACTCCAATCCATACCCTCCCACTCCCCTGTGCTCCCACTCACCCCAGGATAGCCCCTGAGCTGCAGACGTGACAATCACCACCCTATGTGGACCATCCAGACCGCCCTGTTTCCTTCCACAGCAGGGGTTCCCCTCCCCTCCTGTGTCTGAGCCAGACAGCGTGATTTCCCACTTCCTGGGATGGCATGTGACCCAATTTCTCTCCTGCCTTGAATCTTATTAATCCAGTTCCTCTGGTGCTTCAGATTCCATTGTGAGTCACATGGGGACCATCCTCTGTGCTGTGTCATGTGCACAGAACATCCTTCTTACAAACAGCTCCCGAGGCAGTGCACAGAAGTTGCAGAAGTCCACAGCCCAAATGATCCCCTTGAGAGTCCAAGATGCTCCCATTGATGGGCCAGTGAGAATTTTCTGGAGTTACAGCCCAAGATGACCAAGGCTCCAATTGCCACCAGACTGCTCTATCACCCTGACTGCCTGAGGTCATCATCCCAAGTCTATGGTAAGTGTCCTTTTTTGCACTTCCTTTTTAGGGACATTTATTCAGCTCTCCCATAGTATTTAGTATGTCTTGAGCATTAGACAGTCTCCCCATTGATCAGACACTATCATCAAAGGCTCAGACCAGGCCTAAGCAATGATCCTTTGCTGTTTCATTGCCACTCAGTTCAGATCCGATGTTGCTATTAAGAGAGACCAATTACTGGACCACAAAGCAGTCTCCTTCTACCGTCTAAATTTACAATCAAATCAGACTGACCAGGCAAAATGATGTAACCAACTGGTTAGTGATTGATCATTGAGAAAGCTTTGAAGAAAAAATCTATTCAGTGGGTGCAGTCAAGCTTTCAGGCATGGTTTCTATGTAAACATGCTTTTGATGGGAATGTACAAAAAGAAAAGAAAGACACATATCCCTGTTGTAAATACTGAGCTTCTTCCAAGTCTCAGGCACTGGCTGAGCCCTGGAGTTACTACAATGAACCAGATGTGGTCAAAACCTTCAATAAGTCCACCAGGCAATCAGAACATCTCATCACAGTTCAAGATGGTGAGAAACAGGAAGTTCGCCATGGGACATGGTGCCAAGGGAGACCAGGAGAGAATGACTCCTTTACCCTGGTGAGTCAGATAATTGACCTTAAAACGGATGCCATCGGGTGGAGAAGGATGCTGGGACAGGAACTGGAGACTGGAGCTCAGGCTGAGCTGCCTCATGATTTTCAATGCCTCCCAGCCCCTCTGCTGACCCTCACTCTACTGGTTTAGAGCACTTTTCCAGGGTGTCCTTGCCACATGATCTCGCCCAAATAGTCCTAGGCAGCGAGTCTACACTCCCATCTTCCTCCAAACACCCACTCACACTCACATACACACCACACTCCCATGCACTCACACACATTCACAAACTCACATACACACTCGTACACTCTCATACACATTTGTGAGTGTGCACACACATATGTGCTTTCATTTTTCCCTTCAATCTTACACTCACTTTCAAATTGAAGTGGATCCTACAGATCATGGGGATACTGAAACGAAAGGAATCCAATATATAGGGCTATTTGCCCCCAAGACAGCATTCTCAAAGCAAACCTGATTTATGCCAGGACTTTTTCTACACCAACTTCAGCCTGTTCTCCACACAGATATCAGAAGGACCATGTGAAGATGCAAGTCACACTGTGTCTCCTTCTAGTTCGAAACCCTCCAATGGCTTCACATCTCACTCAGGACTTTCATACTGGCCCCTGTGACCTCACTCGCACCACCCTGGGATTCAGTCCCCTGGCCTCCTTTCTCAAACGCTCTAGGTGTTCTCTCCATTGCACCAGCCACTCCACTTGCTCCTCTCATGTCCAGAAACGGTCCTTCCCCAGATAGCTACGTGGCCTGCCCCCTTCACTCAAAATGTCATCTTTCCACTGAGGTCTTTTCTGGTTACCCTGTAGAAAATTGTGCCACTGCCTCTGCCACAGGCCTCTTATCTTCCAGTCCTGCTTTGCTTTAGTTCATAGTGTTTATGCCGTCTAATGTAGAGTATACGTTTCTCACTTTGTTTTATTTTCCCCATTCACTCAGGGAGAAGGCAAGCTCCCAGAGGGCAGGGACTGCTGTCAACTTGGGCCACAGCTGTTTCCCCAGTGCTTAGGAGAGTACCGGAACAGAGGATGGCTCCACAAATAAAGAATCAGCAGGAGATGGATTCATTTGTCTCAAGGCCCTCTAGGAGGTGGTGCAGTAATAGGACAATCATCTTTACACTGAGAGGTTCCAGACCAGAGCAAATGATGAGAGGGGGCTGAGTGTGACCCCCTCCTCCACCCAGGGCAGCACGATTTGCATTCATTTTATCGCTTTGAACTCCCATATAAGATTGCCTCTAGGGCTTCCCTGGTGGCACAGTGGTTATGAATCTGCCTGCCAATGCAGGGGACACGGGTTCGAGCCCTCGTTCAGGAAGATCCCACATGCCGCGGAGCAACTAAACCCTCAAGCCACAACTACTGAGCCTGAGTGCCACAACTACTGAAGTGGGCATGCCTAAAGTCCATGCTCTGCAACGAGAAGCCACTGCAATGAGAAGCCCGCACACCGCGACGAAGTGTAGCCCCCGCTTGCCGCAACTAGAAAAGAACATGTGCAGCAACAAAGACACAACTCAGCCAAAAATAAAATAAATAAATGTATTTTTTAAAAAAAAAGATTGCCTCTAATGAAAGATTTCTACTGCTTTAGATAATAGTTTTAAAACCACTCAGGCAAGAGCACAGAGACAAACAGAAATAGACTGGAGTCCAGCTCTACTACCTGTAACAGTGAGATGAAATATTGGCCAAGTCACATGTTTTCTGAGCTTCGTTTTCCGTATGTGAAAAATGAGGACAACGCCTACCTCCCGGGGGTGATATTAACAATATTTAACAAATGGTGAAGCCACCAATCAGAACCCACTGGTGTCAACATTAAGGGAACAGAGGATGGCTGTGCCTGGCATAGGCAGAAAGTCATTGAAGGATGAGTCCCCAAGTCAATCTCGGGACCTTCCCAGGCAATCTGGGGCCTTTGTGGTCCCTTTGGGAGACACGGAAGTGTGGGGGAAGAACAAGGCTAATTCAGGGTGAGCAATCAAAATCCAAACCTTCTTGCAGCCACCGTTGGAGTGCAGGCTCAGAATGCCCCAGAATGAAAATCCAAAGCAAAAGGTCCAACCCACCTTCTTCCTATAAGCCCTTGCCAGGGATTAAACAGCACACCCCAAAGCCACAGACAAGTCATAATATGCCCATATTTTAACTTGGTCGTATTATGCGCAGCATAATTAATGTTTAAAAAGCATTTCTGCAATAAAATGTCTCTGAGATAACCGGCATGAATCACAAGGAAGCTGTGGCTGTGTTTAATTTGACTGCAGAAGAGGTTTCTAGTTAGTGGAGCAACGCCACCAACAGCCCCTTACTGGACACAGCTACACACAGCCAGGTGACTGCACTTCCAATCACAAGCAGAGCCTGGGACCAAGTCCCCGGCGAGTGCGTTTCCTGGTTGTGAAGCCCTTTGTGCCCTGTCTGGTTTGGTAAGTGTGCTTGCTCCAATGTCTCCCGATTGCTGGGTCGTTTACCAGCATCTCCAAGCAGGATCTTCGAGTGACTGTTATGAAAGAATTCTCTGCTGAGACTGCCTGATGGCAGACTTCTGTCGAGTCATTCTCCCAACTGTGTGAGCTGATGAAATGCACCAATTATTTCAGAGCACCAAAGTTTGACAATTTCTTCATGAAATTAATATTTTAGTCCCCACATAACGATGGAGGCAAAATTAGTTGGGATGAGTAGAAAATTGACATGTCAGTGTTTTGCAAAAGGAACCAATTTCTCCTTGACACAACAGACTTTGTTCCTGACCATTCCTTCCCACTTCCTGCCTCTTTCATCCCTTGGCTCTACTTCTCTGGAAGTCTCAAGTGAGTGGGGGATAGGGTGGGGATGCTTGTCTCACCTATGAATTGGCAGGTGCATGGCTGAATCTGATAGAAATAGGGATGATTTCTGGACCTAGGAAAACATGATCTACTAAGTCTAAAGAAAATACTCCCCTCTCCCTGGATTGGCTATGGACAACAGGTCAGTTGCCTGGCCCAGTCGTGTAGATTTAACTGCAGTGCCCAGTTTTAAGTGCACATTACTTTCAACCTAAGTCATAACTAATCAGAACATAACAATCTGTTACTAAGTTGTATATCATTTACTCTTCTATGAAAGTATAAGTTGCATCAAGTTCATGGTTATCCCTATAATAATATGTTTTATACTTGCATTCCAACTTGCTTTGTAAACAATCAGTGTTGCCTTGTGGTTAAAAACTTGGACTCACAAGTTTGACTGCCTGGGTTCAACACCTGACTGCCATAGCTTCTGTGTCCATAAAGTTGATTCTGTCTAGTAGCGGGCATTGTACTCAAATTTCTGCACTGAGCATTGAACGGTAACACTTACAAGCATATAGAGTACTTAGTTTGTGAAATACTCTAAATATATATGATCTCAAGGAAATTTCCCAGCCCCATTGTAGAGAAGGAGGAGAAATTCTTTCATTTCTCAGGCTTTCTAATGGCAATCTCTCTGCTCTGAATGTTCCCCTTCCTGGTGACATTTCATCATCCTTCAGATTTCAGCTAAGGTAATACTTCTGCCAGAAGAAGCTGTCATTAACCCAGATCTGTACTTGCAACCATGAACTGCCATTGTACTCTCAACTTCTGTGGCAGCACTCACTTACTGTCATTGATTGCTTGCACTTCTGACCCCCACAAAACAGAAGCTCTGTGAAGGCAGGGAAGGTGTGCATTTTGCTCACCACTACATGCCCGGAGCTCAGCACAATAACTAAACCCTAAAAGGCATGTACTAGTTCCTTAATGCATGCATTATTGAACTAATAGGTGAATTCATTTGAAGACAGAGAAATTGAGACCCACATATGGCAGAGATGTTTATCGTTCCCCCAGTACCTCTGTGTTCCCTAGCATTTCCCAACCTCCTTGCAGTAGACAAAGTCATGTGACTAGTTCTGGCCAATGTGCTGTGGCAAAAGAAATGTGGTCCTTCAGGGTCAAAGCTTAAAAGAATGGATGTATGTGCTCCCTGCTCTCACATCCCCTGGTACAAAGATTGGAGTGGCTGCTTGTTGAGAAGATGGAGCACCAAGGTGGAACCATCTGGACCCTAAGTCATAACTTAGAAAAGAACTGACATGAAGAGGCCTTGGATCAGCAGAGGACTTTTCGTGAGTGACTGTAAACCCATGGTGATTCAAGGGGCTTGTTACCATAGCATAACCTAACCTGACCTGAATTATTCAAAAGATTTTCCAGGATGACACAGCACACTGGCATCCAAACTCAGATCTCTTGAATTCAAAAGCTTAAGACTGAGTGAATAATAAGGCTCTACCTTTAATTGCTTATCAGCCTAGTATCTTTTTCACCTTTGTATCTGGAATGGCAAAAAAGAAGTATTTCATAAACCACCTACATCAGAAATCTCTGAGGAAAATGACTAGACAATTGCTATCAATTTGCAGACATTCTCTGTGCCTCTCGACCTGTACATCCACTCTATTTATCCACAGAAAAGCTGTGTGGTAGAAGGAGCATCCCTCTTTGTGAATGAGGCCACCTGTTTCTATGTTCTGATTTGAAAGATCTGAGTCTCTTCTCTGTGAGTAAGCAGACAGAGTTGATTTGCTGGATAGTTTCCTCAGATGTGATTACAGCAAAATTACATTGATAATCAGCTAGGTGTGTGGTCAAAATGTTTTCTAACAACAACAACAAAAAAGCATTCTAGTACATGGAAATAGGAGCCTTTAGGGAGTAGTTAATTTATAGGCTAATGTTTCCTTACATGAAATATGACTGTAAAGAAGGGTTCTTTCTATGAAGTTAGGCTACTGACAGGGAGACAGACCACGTGGGCAGGGATAGAGAGTCTTAATCATCTTACACCCTCGACAAGGGTGTAGAACTGGCCCCCTATCTTGCTTCATCACAGGAAAGTGCAAACCATGCATGCTTCTCTAGAAACTTCCTTCCCTTCTCCTCGAACTCTGCAGGGATACTTCTAACCCTTTAGAAAAAGAACACCAGCAGTTAATGAGAACCTATACTTCATAGTTACTTTTTCATTCTCATTTAAACCATCAACCCTTTAAAATAGGTGTTTTCCCAGCACAGCATATAGTATGTGGGCAGCCTTGGGCAAGTCACAGAAGTGCACTGAACCTCCATTTTTATGATAAATTTGTATCATTTTACAGATAATAAAATGGAGGACCTACAAGACCATGCAAGGCTGGAAAAGGGTCAAGCTCTAGGGGATATCTTTGATATCTCAGGAAACAGATTCTAAGATGCAGAATTGTATGCAGGAAGCTTATGAGGGAGCACTCTCAGAAAAAAAGCCCATGCAGGAGGAGGAGAAGCTAGATTAGACAGGGAGAATTTCAGCTGTTATGCAGTTGCAGCATGATCTCAGTCAATCAATCTGGGACTGGTGGGCCCTTCAGAGTTGTCCCAAATTGAGGCAAGGGGGACACTGTATACCCGCCCCCACACACACCACCATCTATGACTCATTGGAAGTTGGCTGGTCACAGAGAGGGGGCATAATCTTGGACAAGGCAATTCCCTATAGGCAGGGCAATGCCCAGGGAAGAACCCAGCTGTGAGCCATCAGCGGGCAACACATCCGGCAGCCAGGAAATGAATACCTAATTCCTGAAGGGGAAAATGGGTGGTAGACCACAGCATTCACTACAGTGGTGAATAAGATAGACAAGAGATCTGCCCTCACAGAGTTTATAATCTGTGGGAGGGAGAGGGAGAGAGAAAAATAAACAAAGAATCAATTATTTGCAGTGCACTTGATGCCATTATAGACACACACTTGTATCCACTTAGCATGGGGGAACATATTCCTGGAATGACAGTGGTAACTACATCAACACCGTATTGAGTTCATTTGGGTTTGTGGCCTGGAATTGTACAATGCAAGAGGTCCTCAAATTCCATACATCATGACTTGCCACCCATCCATAATTTCTTCCAGTGGCTGGTCTCAATCTATTGTTAGACAATCCTCCCAAGCGTTTATAGCGCTGTCATGATGTCAGAGGGCAACCTTCCCACAACACCTGCTGTTCTCTGCCCTGAATTTGCTCTGCCGTGAACTCCAGTCATTGTCAAAAGGGTGTGATAGCCTCCAATGTGATACTCTTCCTTGGGTTCTCTGGGGCAGGTCCAGTAACATCACCTGCAAACCTGTCCCCAGTTACTAGAGTCAGAACTGTTCTCCAGGACGCAAAGCATACATGGCAGGAAGAAAGACTCTTGCAGAAGAAACAACACATATTGCCAAACACACTCACTTCAGGATCATGCTGTAGGTGCTCATGGGAGGAGAAC